CTGGGCTCACCGCGCTGTACATATATAGCAAAGAGGCATAATCATAATATTAAAATGAAATACATAAATGAAATAAAAACAACATATAAGCAAAACAACACCATAGGTATATTCATCCACCCACACCAGACCTTTTTACAAGGAAACCCATGTACGTTTATCGGTTTATAGGAGGAGAATCAGTCAGAGTAGTATAGTTTAAATAGATGTGTTTTGAGTGCAGTTTTGAAGGCCTGTGTGGTTGTTATATTGCGGATGTGTAGTGGCAAAGAATTCCATTGTTTGGGGGCGCAGAAAGAGAAAGATCGTTCACCATATAATTTAGTGCGTGTCTTGGGAACGGACAGAATACGCGAGTCTGCGGAGGAGCGAAGTTGTCGAAGGGGTGAATAGACAGAAAGAAGTTCAGTTAGATAGGAAGGGCAGGAATCCGAGAAAAAGTTGTGACAGAGAAGAGACAGCTTGTAGTCAATGCGTGCCTGTATAGGGAGCCAATGTAGTGAGTGGAGTAGTGGAGTGACGTGATCGCGTTTTTTTGCCTTAAGAACAAGCCTAGCAGCAGAGTTTTGAACTTTCTGCAGTTTTTCTATAAAATGTTTCGGTGAACCTGACAGAAGTGAGTTGCAATAGTCAAGACGAGAGAGAACAAGAGCACAGACTAGAGTTTTTGTTGCGCTAACTGTCAGGTAGTGGCGGATGGAGCTGATCTGACGGATGGCGGTGTATGCTGAACGACAAATGTGAGAGATATGTTTATCGAGAGACATGTTGTTAGAAAGAATATAACCAAGATTCCTAGCAGAGGGTGTAAACTGTATGTCGGAGTTACCTACTTGAAATGAGGTGGGAAGAGTTGAGGTAGAGGATGATTTGTGATTGTAAATGAGGAGTGCTTCTGTTTTGTCATCATTAAGCTTCAACTTGCTGAGTGTCATCCAAGACTTGACATCATCAATGCACCCCCGCAAAGTCTGGACAGCGGAATCGACAAGAGATGGATGAGTATGCATGTATAGCTGTGTATCATCTGCAAATGACTGGTTCTCAACAGCATGCCTCCCGAGCAAGAGGAGTAGTGGTCTGGTATACATTATGAATAGAACCGGACCCAAAACGGACCCCTGTGGCACTCCGTACACCAAATCAGCACTGCCGGAGAGACAGCCATCGACAGAGACCATTTGCGTTCTATCAGAGAGGTAGGACCTAATAAAATGCCAACCCCATCCAAAAAAAAAAATATAATAACATTTATTCACTGTTTGGAACGAAGAATTAGAGATCTTTGTATTACTTACAAAATTGCTTTGTCTAATTAAGAATATATACATTTCTTCATTTTTAAAACGAAATATTCTTCGAACGTAGAGAGGCTATTTATTTGTACGGTCCAAGAGAGGTAACCTGCAAATAACTATGGTAATTTAAAGTGCGAGGTTTTCTTAAAGGGTTATGAACCTTCTTCTGCGAGACGTGACATCTAAAAGGTCATCGGGAAATTTGTTTGAAAGAAATTTCATCGACGGAAAAATTAATTGACGGAAATGTGACCTAACAGAAGTTTGGTCGAATCTTTTTTTCGGTTCACACGTTAAAATTTTGCGTCAAATTTCTTTTTGAATGCATTGTTTTGTTTTACCATATAGTATATATTATTTTTTTAAATATATGATCTCTCGTCAGTGATTTCAAACAAGCGCTCCTCGTACCTCATGCTTCATAAGCTTTGGAGAAGAAAGGAAAGGGGGTGGGGTGGGGCATGAGGGTGGTCCGCCCCGGGTGATACATTCTATTCTATATACTTAGAGGTGAAGTTTTCGAAAAATAAAATGTATCTTCTGAGTCTTCCGTACCACAAGGATTGCGTTCACCCCTGTTTAAGAACCACTGTGTTAGGGCAATGTTTCTGACACAATCGCAGTAATTCAATATCCATTTTGAATAGTAGGACAGTAGTGGACAGAAGGATTTTTATAGTAGGGGGGGCGGGGTTTGTGACGTTATAATGGAGCGGGGTGGTCAAACTTTTTGTGACGATGGGGGGGGAGGGAGTCCAAAAAATTTCGTGACGTCTTTTATGGATGGTCCCCCAAATGCAAAAGTTGTTGTTCTTTTTTTAAATAGAGGGGTTCACAATCTTGGCCCACCCGGGGCGGCACAAACCCTCGCCATCCAACTNTGGTGGGGGGGGGGGTGGGGGGGGGGGGGGGGGGGGGGGCTGGCAAAATCTTCGGACTGCTAAATGACCAACTACATGTCAAGCTATCGAGTCGAAACTTGGCACATAGACTCGTTACCGATGACAACACAATATATCAAATTTACAACCCCAACCCCCAAAAGTTAGTTTTTATTTTGTTTTCAAGGTAATTATGAAGGAAAACTCCCGATCACTGCGCTAAATGAGATTCTTTTTTAAAAAATCGCAAGTGCTTTTGGTGGGTTATATTTTCTTTTTTTTTTTTTTTCTAAAATTGTTGGTGAAATAAATATGCGATGTAAAAACGAGTGGGTCATTAGAATTTTAATATATTTCAGGGGCGTGAAAAAAAAATGTGCGGTTGCGAGCCCTGACAGTGTGTGTGTGGGGGGGGGAGGGTACTAATTTGGAGTCTTTTCAGCCCCCACCCCCATTGCTCAATAACATTTTATAAAGGAATTCATCGAAAACCTTTGTGTTTAAGGTTTGTTTAATTAAGCTTTCTCCTAATGCGCCCCATGTGTGCTTCACAAGGACCCATGACATGCAGTTGAATTAACTTGACACTCATTCGTTCGATTCAATCAGAATGAATCCAGTGAAGTAATTTATTTGAAATCAAAGCCCCTGTTTGAAATTATTTTAAGTTTGAATTCCACATTTATTTAAGCAGCTTAAAACAAAATTAAATTTAATAACTTCTTCATAAATCTAATCATTGCCGCCTACATTTATATCTTCTACTTGGCGGAAGGGCCTTGTAACTTTTAGTAAGGTGATTACACTATTAGGTTTGCTATTGCAATATCACTATTAGGTTTGCTATATCACTATTAGTTTTGCTATTGCAATATCACTATTAGGCTTGCTGTTGCAATATCACTATTAGGCTTGCTATTGCAATATCACTATTAGGCTTGCTGTTGCAATATCACTATTAGGCTTGCTATTGCAATATTGTAGTATCTCCCTGGTCCCCAGTAACTAAATTTTGCTTAATTATATTTAATTGTATTCATTATGGAAGCTGTTTAGATTTGAAGGGTGGCTAAGATCATACTCTTTACAAAAGACAAATTCTTTATTTATTAACATTATTGAGATTTTCGAAAACATACTTTTTCATTTATATTTTTTAAATTAAAATATGGGGGCGTCCATTACTTACGTCAACAAAATAGGGGGTGGGGTGGTTTGGAAATGTTTGACAATTGTTGAAAAAGGGGAGGGAGAGGGGGGTAGATTAGTTGACGTCAACAATCATATTTTCTCTATAAAATTTTTAATCTTAAAAATTGACTGGTTATTAGTACATTATTTTAAAAAACTAATAAGTGTAAATGAGTGTAAATATTCATATAATTTTTAGGCTTTTAACAACATAAGATTTATTTAATGTGTGTATGTGCACTGCAGATGGCTGGTCAGAATGTTAGCACACTTTGTTCGTGCAAGAGAAGTCAAAAGTTGGCCTCTCTTCACCTGTCGACTCTGTGCAGGTATGGAACAAGGAAAAGGTTCAAATGTCATGTGCAGTCAAGATAAATGATCTTGATAGAGTAGGGATACGATATTTTGAGAATTAGGTGAATGTACAGTGAGTAACAATAATAACATCGCTGCTTGGACAGATTTTCAAAATCTGTAAGATCTATTTTGCATCCCAAGTCATGTTGAAAAAGGATTTCAACAGTACCGAAAATGCCCTCTTGACCATAAGAAATTAGTACCTGCTCCTCATCAAAAAAAGGATTCGACCAATGCGAGTAGCTGCAAGGAGATAGTTAGAGCTAATGGCAATTATTGCTCAAACCGACAATGCTTCTATTTTAAGCGCTGAACAGTTAGATGAGGATGATGTTGACTTATCTGGTATATCAGTGCCACCAGATGAAAATGATCAATCAGCTGCTATAGACTATGTCCATCAGGGGCGTCATTTTATTTTTTTTCAGGGGGAGGGTGGAAAAAACAAAACTTGGTCGGCTTGTTAAGTTATTTATTACTGGAGGCGCCACAGCACGTAGCAATTTAAATAAAACCTGCATATTAGGGGGTGGGAGCTAATGCCCCCTGCCCTACCCAAAGGATGTCCCTGGTGCCCATTGTTACGATAGAGCAAACCTAGCTATTCTTTGGGAAGATGATAGCAGCTAGATAATATATTATAGTTTTCAGCTTTTAATCATAATAAATAATCATATTTATGCCACACACAATGATATTTAGTCTTTAACAACCTTTCAATTGATTCTGCATTGTAAAATTTAAGTTTTAAAACTTTTTAACTTTTAAACTTTTAACAAGCTAAAGATGTAATGAAATGTTTTTTTCTATAATTTTATTGTCATTAAGATAGATCAGCACGAAGTAAAATGTATTTATAAATTTATTTATAATATAATTCCTTTTTTTTTTTTTTTTTTTTTTTTTTTTTTNNNNGGGGGGGGGGTCAAAAAGTGCTTACAAAGTGTTAACGTAATTAATGGACGACACCTATGTGTTATTTCTTTTTGTATTGAGTATTGTATGCTCAGTTGACTACGCAACTTAACTAACCAAAACGTCCGTTTAAATGTACTTTTTTCTATTGTCTACTATTTATTTACTTCACACGTCTTAAACGCAGTCCCTCATTTATTCTCCTTTAGTTATTAACGCGGGTAGCCATAAACTGACAGAGGAATGGGTTTTGGGGTGATGTCAATTGTATGTTCGATTTACGGTTACGATGTGCCATTACTTTACGGTTATATTTGTACACTTGCGCAGTTAAATTTAGCTTGCTCTTGTCAATGTTGTAGCACTTCCGGCGTTGGCGGCATTGCGGATACCAACTAATGAGAATCTATCTATAATAAATGTACGTTAGTAGTTAGTAATTGTTTCAGTTTAGTCCTTGTCTTGCTTATAAGCTACTAAAACAGATACGCTTAATTTCAATCGTGCAAACAATTAGTTGCAATTAAAGTTTTTGTTTAAATTCCATTTACAATACGTTACTTGCTGTTACTAGTGTTACTAACTAACAACTTGAACTCTTCTAAATTCTTGCCGTACTTAAACTTAGACTTAGGACTCTTAATTTGAATCGTAGTGTTGACCATTAGGCCAGATACAGCCTATTATTCTCTATTAGAAGAGTAAGATTCATCGTCTTACCCTCCTATTGAAAACATAGGCCTAGTCTTAGACTTAGTATAATTGAACTTGATATTAGTCAATTATTGTTGATAGGTCTAAATTAAGATAGAATTAAAAATTATTAATAAATTATAAAATATTGAGTGAGTAAGCCCTATTTATTTAACTTTAGTTTTAGGACATTTAGGAAGTTAGGAACCACTGTTAGTTGAGCAAAATGAATTTCAATTATGTATCCGGTACACTCTCAATAAGCAAGTAGCCTAGCATGAACTCTGCTTTGGCTTTAACTTTAGGCCTAATTCATGAAAATATTTAATAAAAGATACTCCTAAATTCAGTAACTTGTTACAAGTCTTGTACTAGTACTGGTACCTGTTAATAGTGTTAATGGTAAAGGCAAAGGTGTAGTTTATGGCATGGATTTTGCCAAGTAAGTGTTGTCTCACCCTAAGCGCAGTAACATCTCTTTTGAAATCCCAACACTGGACTGCATAGAAGGCACTTCGGTAAAGCATGGGAGACTACTTCAAAATTTTTATCTGAAATAGTAGTCGGCATAGGGGAATCAAAGTTTTTAATTTTTGGACGTTTTCATGAAAAAACTACTAAAGATAGTACTTGAGTAAAGTCATAAAATTGTGGTATTCTCCAACATGTTCACAATAGGGCACATCCTGACCTACATTCCAACATACTGTTTATTATTGATCGACCTTAATTTTGGAAATTATAGGTATAAGGCATCTTTTCCTAAAAAATTTAGGAAGAAATTAAAAGAACATGTCTTTAATATTAAATACTGAAGAAGAGCACTATATATTGATCTATTGTGTGCCGATTCTCATTGATTTAAGTCATGTTAGACGTTGGTTTCTCGTCTCAGTAACCTACATTATCTTAAGGTCACTTAGCCTAATTTTAACCACACCCCCCTTTTTAATGGCGGAAGATGCAGATACTTAAGAAATATTCAATTATTACCATGATTTACATCAAACTATTTGATAACTTGTGTTTTTGAATGAACTTAGAAGTAATTTAATCAAGAATATTTTAATTTGAGATTTAAAAATCTGTTATAGTAAATATTATAAATGATCATAATTTGCTGTGAGCAAAACATTGTCATCTGCAACCATTCACAGTCACTTGGATGTGCTATAGCTAGCCTAGAATGCCTAATAAAAAATTAAGAAACAAAATAATTTCTGGGGACGGGGTACTTCATCATTGTGATCATCCAAATATTTGAAATTTAGAGTATATGTTTTAAACTCATTAACTCCTGGATCAACAAATTTGTCTTGTAGATTAAACAAAATGATATAAAGAGTTTTATGCCACAACATGCAGGTATAACTGCAAATTGCAATTGCATGGGCAGTAGTTGTAATTAGAGCTTTAACTTGTCAATAAATCAACACAAAGTGATACTGCATTCGGTGATTTATGTAGATGTACTTGAAATTCAAACTAGTAGGCCTATTAGCAAGATTTCTTTGCACTAATAATATGAAGCGAAAAGATTGAGGGATGAAATGTTCTATTACCTCTTGCTTGAATTGAATGAATATCGTCTTTAAATTTGGAGATTTGGTTATTTTAATTTGTAAAGGAGCATAAACTTTAATAAAATAACAACTGTGAACATCTGTAGTGTTTGCACTATTGGAGATAAAATAATTATGAATGTCGTAAGTAATGTAAACATTTTCCTTGCTCAAAAGATTGTGTAAGGCTATACATTTTAATGAAGAGATCACAATGAAGAAGTATACAAAGCACCAGTAGTTCTACTAGTCATAAATTAATAATAATATAAAGAGTAGTTTAGGAAAAATGATGACAGACTAAAAAAAACAGAACATATGAATGAAAAAAAAAATATTTCAAAATATTTGTACGAATAACTTTTGTTCAAGCTTTTGAATACCTGTTGCATGTTTAAATACATTATTTAGAATAATTTTATAGGCCTAATGCATAAGCTATTGCTTAGCATAAATAGAACTCCCATTCTTTGTATTCAACTTTAAACTAGATTACAAGATATTTTTTTTTAAATGACACTTGATCAGACTTGGAATTTTTTTATTTATAAAAATATATTTGTTATAATATTTTAAACTCATTTTTAAGGGATATTTATTTTAATGCTGTTTTTTTCTACCAATTTTAAAGTATTCATATTGAGAAATGACTGTTGGCGGTCACCGTCCACGTTGTTTCTTTGACATCAGCATTGGAGACAAACAAAGTGAGATCATTTTAGTCTTCCTATTAGTTAATTTTCTACTTTTTTTTTTTTCTTTTTTTTTTTAACATTATTCATTAAAAAGTCAAAACACATTTTGCAGTCCTAATAATTGATTTCAAATGAAAGTTTTGCATAATTATTGTCATATTACTAGCTTATTAGGAGCAGTTATTTTTAACTCCCTGCAGCCAGAAGGATTATTGATTTTATTCCAAGAAATATAATAATTTATTAATTTAAAAATTCCATGTGTTAGTAGGATGGGAAAATTCGTTTAAAACTCATATAAAATATTTACTTCTAGTTGGTCGGATTGTCTTCGAACTTTTCTCTGACGTTGTCCCAAAAACATGTGAGAACTTTAGAGCCCTTTGCACTGGTAAGTTCTTTTAGTTATACCTATTTTTTCTTTCTTGCACTATGTACAGTACATATATATTTTTTGTATCACCTAAAAGTATGTCCTGTTGGTAAAAACAAAACCATAATAGTTATATGTTTTAAATTTAGTTTTAAAAGTTATTATTCAAACTATTCATTCAAAAAAATTATTCATACCTATCTCTGTTGTTTCTATCCGGAAGTTTTATTTGTTTACAGGTGAACTAGGAACCAGTGAAAAGACAGGCAACACACTTCATTACAAGGGTGCTCTTTTCCATAGAGTTGTCAAAGATTTTGTCATTCAGAGTGGTGACTTTACAAAATGTAATTGAAAGTATTTGTTTATTTCGTCACTCAACCAGTCAAGTAAAATGACCAGGGGGGGGGGGGGGGCACTAATTTTATAAATTAATATATCTGTTAACACCATTTTTGTTTTGTGAATGTTTATGTACTAAGTCTGATTTCAGTATCCAACAGGATCAAATTTTATGTTTCTTTTCACAGTTGATGGCACTGGAGGAGAGTCTATCTACGGAGGAGTTTTCCCTGGTATGATATTGTTATTTTGATTCAGTGTGTGTTACATAACCTGACATATGCCAGTTGAAGTTTTATGGAATATTGGAGCATTTGCTAACACATCACAGCTTATCTAACATAATATTACTTAATTGAATGTTAGATTCTCTGAAAGCAAAATTTGGACATGGCAATAATATTTACGACATGAATTGCATGGAGTTTGCTAAAACAGAAGTCTAAAAAGCAGTACCCTAAAGTTAGTGTCTTTACATAATTAAAATTCTGAATATATTGATTATATCGTAAATTTGTGTCCAGAAGCAAGTGTCACAAGATTATTACTGTTAAATATGCAGTTACTCTTGATCTTAACATATAAAATAATAATTAAAATATCTCATTTGGAAGTTAAATACATTTTTTTTCAGATGAAAACTTTCAACTCAAGCATGACAAAGAATTTCTTTTGTCAATGGCAAATAAGGGCAAAGACACAAATGGGAGTCAGTTTTTTATGTAAGTTTAATTAAGCTTCTAAGCTGTCACCATTGACGTGATAATTTGCTATCATGTACAATTCAACACTATAAATGTGTGTAATTACTTGATTGGAACCAAACACGGCCATCATTAAAGGTAGTTGCATTCTGCCTTAATTGGCATTTAGCACTCTTGGGATGGCTGGGGTAATCGGTCAAGGGGCAGTAGCAAAAAAGGCGGATGGCTGATCTATTGGCCAGATATTCAAGCCTCAGGTTTGGTTAGTTGGGCTAGCTAATCAGATTGCTTCTTACATATTCTTGCACATCCTGGTCTTTTAATGGCGGCCTCCATTTATTGTTTACTAGCTTTTGGTGTGTTCAGAAATTTTTGTGTATGTTGCAAGCAATATCGTAAATTTCCAAAATGTCTGACAGTGACACTAAACAAACTGTCTTTAGTGATTTTGATATTCTAGCAGTGAATACTGACACTGAAGAAAACAACCAGGAAAGTAATGAAGACTGTCAAAAGGATGATGTTCACGATAATGTTGTGAACCCTTGGTATAGTTTTAGGGGTCCTCAACTGGATAGAGACGACCCCTCTGAATTTTTAGACAATATAGATCCTATAAATACGCCATGCCTCAAGGCATAAGCACCCCATTTCAGTACTTAATGCTATTTTTTACACTCAAATGTTTATGAGAGAGACCAATAGGTATACATACAATTTTCTCACTAACAACTAGCTTAATAGAAGGTCCATAGCCATAGGTCATTAATGGGGCCTGTTACAGTGAATGTCTGTAGCAACTGAAAAATAGGCAGGAAAAGGGTGGAACCATATGCCAGAGGTGTCTGAAGGACCTCCATGGGCCTTGTTTTCCCAAAACACAAGTGTTAGGACTTATTTAGGCTTCATCCATCAAAAAATTCGCACAATTGATACAAGTAAGACATGTTAATTCTAAGTTTAACAACAAATAGTTACAAGCATAAATTATGCAAACCAGGTTAGCTCATTGCATAAATGTTGAGATTTCAGTTTGATTCATAAAGATTGTATTAGTTATTTCCTACAAGAATATATATAGTTTTATATATGTAAAGGAAATATTTTATTTTTTATAAATCACTCTGAAAAGGCTCCGCCCTGAAATGGTTAAGAAGCGCGGAGGGGGGGGGGGTAATTTATTTAGTATCGCGGCATCCCAAACCCTTTGGAAATTTTCTTTGCACATAGTTACACTTTTAATGAGTGAAAAATCATTAATGAAATTATATATATATTTTTTTTTTTAAAAGCAGATTAGATTGTGTGCTTTTATCGATTGATTCCTACTTTCCATTTTTGTTGCTGTATTCTTTAACTGTGAAAGCATTACATTTTTTAAATATATTTGTATGTTTTATTACATGTATTCAAGTATTTAGTGCCAGGAATGAACATAGGTTCTGATTTAAATTTGTATCATCTAAGGAACAATGATAAGAAACAAAAATATTAAGGATGCTGGTTTAAAAAGTCCTAACTAGCTTTACCTAAGTGTTTCAAAGTATTTTTTTTTCTTTTTCAAAGTAAATTTTTGTTTTTCTCCAGCACTACCAAGGCAACCCCTCACTTGGACAAGTAAGTATTAGAATATGTCTAAAGCTATTATAAAGCAATTATACTTATATTCTATGCTTAATATTTAATTCTACTATCAGTTTTGCCTGTCTCAATGTCAAGACTTGACAACAATTGAGTAGATAAATGCTGGTTTATGTCATATATATATATATATATATATATATTTGACATATATGTCGCTCTCAGAAGAAAACAGACATTGGAGTCCTTTAAAACCGATTTAAAAACACTTCTATTTCGCAAACATCTTCTGGGGTGATGTTGTCTACCATATTTTCCAGTTAATGCATTTTATTGGCTTATGTTGCTTATGGTTGAAAGGGAAGAAAGACTTTGACTTGGTATGCTTGAATGTAGATTTTGTAGTGTTATGTTTGTTTTAAATGTGGTAAATTATAGATTGTTTTTATTTCTCTTTTTTTAATACGGTTGACTTTGTACCATGCTTTGAGATTTTTGGGATGAAGTGTGTTTTTCAAATAAAATTTATTATTATTTATTATTATGTATATATAAGTCAAATGTGTTTTGCTCCTACATGGATTAATTGCAGTACCCTCAAATTGGTGTATTTAAAAAAAAAAATTTTGAAAATGATAATTGTAATTATATATTCATACATAGAAATACAAATTTTCAATTTAAGTTACACTGCTAGTAAATCATTCTAAATATATGTGAAGAATGAAATAAGTAGTTGACAATATTCATATTAAATAACAAGTTAAAATAATGTATCAGTTAATGTCTAATTCAGTTATATGTTCATGTTGGCTTTCATTTAGTACCTGGAAAAGTGCAATGTTTAAAAGCTATATAGAATAGACAATATAGGAATATGAAAAACATCTTTTTAATTACATTTTCATCTAACATTATCCACCCTATATGCTCAAGGCATCGAAATTTTAGTTGCGGTTCCCAATGGTTATCTAGTTAGCCAGCTCTGTTTTATGAAATGTCATTGAAATCATTTAATGACGACAATTTATTTCAAAACGAATCGAGTGATATGGGAGGACATAATTATGCAATGTATAACTCTTTTAAAAATCAAAACTATTTGCAGCTTTTGAATTATTTTTCTATTTTGGTAATGAAGTATTATCAGATGTTTACTTCTGCTTTTTATCTGTTAATCCTAAATCAAGGTTATCTGAAATTCCTCTACAAAACTAAAACTTGACACTCTGTGATTTGTTTTAATATTCAAATTAAATCACTTCAGTTTTTAAATATTTTGATGCATTATCCTTTAATTATTTATTTTTAAAAATTTTGTGTTTTTCACCAGGAGCCTCTGTTCAATTGTGTTTGTAATAAATTATCCTCTGTTTTCAGTGTCCATGTTGTGTTTGGCCACGTATTGAGTGGACAGGATATTGTGAGGACAATAGAAAATTTACCTGTAGATGCAAAAAGCCGACCCACAGCAGAGGTCCGGGTTACCAATTGTGGAGAATTGGTGTTGCAGCTTAAGTCTAAATGTAATTAATTTCATTCATCATACACAGTGGTAATTTCAAGGGGTTGGCGGGATGACCGGAAAGTGGTGGTGGGGGGGGGGGGTGTTAAAAGTTTGAGAACAGCTGATCAAAATTTTTAATTACTGCCTTTTCCAAATATTGAACCATCCATTTCCTATAATAGCCCTGTTATAATGTCTTTAAACATTTTTGATGAGATAGATCATTCACTCTACAGAGCATTTGCACAAATTTGAATGTGTGCAACTTTTTTAATTACGTTTGGTGCAATAGAAATATTTTAGTTTACCGATGCTGCATGACTTCTTCTTTAACAAAAAAATAAATGTTGAAAATGTTATTATGAACAGCTAAAAAGAAGTCTAAAGCAGAGGCTGAAGCAGAAAGCTCATCTGACTCTGAGAAAGAGTCAAAGAAGAAAAACAAGAAGAAAAAACATCACCACAAAAGGAAACACAAGAAGAGGGATTCAAAAAAGAAGAAGAAAGACAAAAAGTCCCACTCTGAAGATGAGGACGTAGAGGAAGAAAAGAAATCAGAGTAAGATAATTTGATATCATTTTACTTGAGAGGAATGCTTTTCATTTGAATTAGTTGTCACGGTTCATATCCTGAGCTCAATGCCATACGATCTTTAAAGTGGTCACAGAGGAAAATATTGATAATTTTGAGATTTTTATCCATGAGATTAAGGTGATTTCTATTCGAGTAAGCTAATAAACAATTTTCTTTTTATGTTTTTCCTTTAGAATATATGTATGTATGTTTTTAAATTAATATTGTTTCACAATAAAGCAACATCTTCCTTTTACATCTAATTTTGTTTAATTTAAAAAACAAAAAAAGCATGTCAGTGCCATGTGTATTTATTGAGTTCTTCTTCTGTTATTGAATGCTTTAATGTCTTTCTTTATTTGTTTACAGCCAGAAAGCTGAGAAGACAGAAGAAATAGGCTCAGTGTTTGCTGAAATCAGAACTGATGAAATTCCTGAAGTTCCTTTCCAGAACTTTCTTTACAGAGGCAAGAAGGAAGAGGAAGAAAAGAAAGACATTGCTGTTGAAAAACCAGAAGACAATGAATCAAGACAAAAGTAAAAACTCCTTTTATAATTCGTTTTTTGTTGTTTTTTTTTGTTATGTTCGTTCTTGTATATATAATGTCATTCAATTATTTTTTTTTTTAATTTTGAAATGCATTAACTTGTATGTTAAGTCTTAAGATATTTGTAGGCATGCAAAGGTAATTTAGTTCTACTGGTCAATGTCTTTTTATTATCTGTGTGTCAACTCTTGTTTGAATCAATATGTGGATTGCTTCCACAGAGTAAGATCCCCTAGACGTAGAGAAAGAAACAACAGGCCCATTGTGTCAGCATCTGGAAGAAAACTCAAAGGCAGAGGGGCTATTGTAAGTCTGTGCTCTAGAGTTTCAAGTGTGTAAAAAAATAACCCTACGATTATTATGTTTACTTTTTAAAATTGTTGTTTATAAAAATAACAAAAACAATGGGTGTATGAATCGTTTTTACTATTTATGCAGAGATTCCGAAGTCGTTCTCGGTCTACTACCCCACCTCATTGGAAACAAGAACAAAGGCGAGCCATTCCTCTCAGTGAAGCAGAGAAACTTGCTGAGAAACGATGGAGCAAAGGTGAAGCCATATCAGCCCAGTCCTTAGAGAAGACAGAGAGCAAAAGGGAGACAGAACGGGGAAGATTCGCCCAAGGGGGCAGATTTGAGAGAGAAAGGGGGGATGGAGATGCCATTGAGAGGTTAGTCTATTTCAAAGTTTTTAGCTCATATTGTTGTGCTTACCTATTGTAAGCTTGTATCCATGATTCTTTATGACTCATTATCTGGCATGAAATAATCACTGTGCTATTTAAATTTCAGCCGCGCCACGTGCCCTTTATAAAATATCTATTTCTTTAACCCTGGACATTCAAATTTCCGAAATTACCTTTTGATTTTCCCTAGAAAACTCGAAAATGGTCGTACGAAAAGACAAGGGAGGGAACATGATGAAGACAAGAATGATGAAAGAAAGAAGCGGTCACGTCCTGATGACAGTGATGAAAAAGGTGAACCATTCTTTCACTCTTGTATTTATATTGTTTTCTCAAAGTAATACTAGTGGATCAGAATTTTACATAAATATGTTAGCCAACTAGGCATTAACAAGATGTTTTTGGTACATGTTCAGTGGGTGCAGTTGAATAGCAATGACTTGAAATTGGCTTGTAAAAAATGTCTGCTCATGCTTTGTAAAAATTAAATTAAAACCAAATATGTAGTTATGATTGTTTTCTTTTCTGTTAATTTGTTTGGCTTTATTTCATATTTTTTTTAAACATGCCATCGTCTTTATCTTAAAGTTGATGAGAGAAAACGTAAAAAGGATAAAACTGAAGGTCCAAGAGACCAGTCAGAAGATAGTGATATAGAGACAGGATCCGGCAATGAGGATGGAGAGATAAAGAGCCGGAAAGATAAAGACAAAGCAAAAGAGAGGAGCAGGGAGGCTCGTAATAGACGTGAGAGTGAACGTAATAAATCTGACAACAGGTAATAAATTTTAGTTTTTTAAGTTAAAATCAAGATTGAATGGTGCATATCTGTTTCATACAAGCAGGCGGCCTACCTGTGGACAACCTTTAAGCTATTTGCTTTTGGTTTAAAAAAGATCAATACTGTTAAAAATAAACTGTTTAAGGCTTGCTATAACTTTTCTTTAAAATATATTTGAGGCAAAAAAAAAAAAAGATTTTATATCAAGTGGATATTATCTTAGTCTTCATTTTTTTCTACAGAAGTTCATCTCCAGATGAGCGGCCAATAAGAGACTTTAAGCTATTTGCTTTTGGTTTAAAAAAGATCAATAATTTTAAAAATAAACTTTTTAAGGCTTGCTATAACTTTTTTTTAAAATATATTTGAGGAAAAAAAAAAAAAAAAAAGATTTTATATCAAGTGGATATTATCTTAGTCTTCATTTGTTTCTGCAGAAGTTCATCTCCAGATGAGCGGACAATAAGAGACAGAAGGAACAAGGTGAAAGAGAAATCACCACCTCCACGCCGTGATGTCAGGAAGGACTCGCGTAGATCTCGCTCCCCTGAAAAGAGAGAAAATAGAAGAGACTCTGGTGATCACAGGAACCGCTTGCATCGCGAGGAAGCTGCAGAAGGGAAATTTCATAACAGACGGCGAGACTCTAGGCGCTCAAAAAGTTCTGAGAAAAGTGATGACAGTTCAAGGAAACCTAAAGACAGCAGAGCTAAATCACCCCCTAAACGAAATCCAGATAGAACTAGGTCGCCATATTCTCATAGGCCAGGGAAGGATGATCGACGAGAAAGGTCATTATCTCATGACCGAAAGAGAAAGCGATCAAGCTCAAATGAGAAGTCTAGATCACGGGATTTAAGTAAAAATGACTTGCACCGTCGGAGGAGGTCAGACTCCAGCACTGAGAAAAAGAAAGACGACTTAGAAAAGAAACGTAAAAGAGGGACCCCAACCAGGTCATCTAGTTCTGAAGATGAAAAATCAGAGCATGAAGATAGATGGAAGACTGTAGGGTAAATACAAACAGCTACAGTAATTATAAATAATATCTTAATATAAGTTTCAAATGCAATTTCTACTTTCTTCTAATTTAGCACATGTATAAGTTCTATTTTAAAATTTTTACCTTTCAGGCCAGTAAGGAAGAAATCTGACAGTCCACCTCCTACTCATTGGAAACCTGGTCAACGACCTTTGAAAAATGCCAATAAAACAGAGAAGTGTGTAATGTTCCTGTTTTAGACACTTATATTGAAATTGACTATATGAAACTAAACTTTTATGATAATTATTTATGGCTTTATTTGAAAAAAAAATCTTTTTTTCAGACTTAAGAACCCATTAGATGAAGCACCACTTTCAGTGCTCCAGGAAACTGAGGCATTGCTGAAGGCTCAGTTGGCTGCAGACTCAATTGATGAGGCCCTGTCTCTGTCTAGTCCTGCCCCCATGGCAGCCAAGATACAATACAAACTAGATGGAGGAGAGCAAATTCAATACAGTGTAACATTAGGTAATCCTTTCTACCTATATCAGCCAATTTCAGTGACAGTGCACTTTTATGCTGCAAGTTCATATTACATCTAACTCGGTAGACAATTGTCAAATTTTTTTTATCGTTACAAAAAGATGGATATGAACTTCTTAACTCTCATGAGACGAGATTTTTCCAGTTTTTGTAACCTTGAATACATCTTATTATTCAATGTGTCTCATGGGTGTAATTATGTAAAAGGTTTATATATCATTTTAAAGGTAATGGGATGCTCTTTAACATATATTTGGTGTTAGTTCAAAATATCCTTTCTAAAATTGATTTATTATTATTTTTAGGCAAAAGTTTAATTTTTTTTAGTAGAAAAAAACATATCACAGCTTCACAAAGAAAGTGAAAAAAAAGTGTTTCCAAATATGGCAATAAAATTGATATTTTATAAGAATGTATTCAATACTAGAATACATATTCAAATTTCAAAAGAATAAAGACTCATAAATAAAAAAAGTTATGACTATTTATAGACAACATATCATTCAAGGAAATATTGCCCAAAAGTTCAAAATTATTTTTTTTAAATAATGATAAATTTTTCTTCAAAAGAAAACATATACTGCATCAAACTATCACTTAAAAAATTATTAGTAAATATAATTTTAGAATAAAGGTTAGGAAGAAATGGACATTTTAATAAATAAACATTTTTTATACTTGGGGCTTGTGCTGCCTTGGGCAAATGAAAGTATCGTATTAAACACACACACACACACACACACACCCTTTAAAAAAAGAGTTTTTAAAGAAAAATAATCCATGGTATTGTAACCACCTTACTTACGCAAAAACATTTTCTTTTGTGCATTTCATAAGCTTTGTTCTTATTTTGAAGAGCGATAAGTGCATTAGTGAATGCTATTTGGCTATAAGTAGTTTCACTGCTCTGATTGAATTAAACAGCATTTTCTTATTAAAAGTATATTTAGAGCTTAAGTTTTTACTACGTGATAAATTTCATCAAAGTATATTTTTGGAATGAATAAAAATTAAAAACTTATTAAGTGTTAAAAATACAAAGCTAAAATTGTTTTTGATTTTAGCAATTAAAAAGCAATCAATTATATTTAATTTATTAATTTTTTTTTTAAGAAGGGGATATTAAAGAACGCACTTAAAATAACATTTGTTTTGGGTTTTCCGATAAATGTGATTATGATGCAATTCTTATATCATAATTTTTTTATTAATATTTTTTTTTCATAATTTTTACATTCGGATAAAATTCTTAAAATTGTTCCTTGGTTGTTACTTTAAATGCATTAGTAATTTATAATAATAATACTTAAACTTTTACTAAAATAAAAGCGGATATATATTTTTTGGCGCATTTAAATTTACTCAAATTCCATAAAATAATAGAAAATAACTATGATTGTTTTTAATAATCCGAGCGTATCTAAATATTTTCGAATCTTTAGCATTACAGTGTCATAGCTCATTCTTATATATATTATTAGCTTAGCGCAAACAGTATTCACAGTTTTATCTTAACCCAAATTTGAACAAAATTTTATTAATTAAGCAGACAAGGTACCTGGAAAGCAGTTGCCAGATGACCAAAAGAGTTCTTCTCAGAAAGCTCGTCCTTTATTATCTGGTATGAAGTCCAGATCAGACTCAAGCTCTAGCTCATCAAGCTCTGGTTCTTCAAGGTCTCGTTCAAGATCAGGCTCAAAAGGTCGCCAACAGAGAACTACGGATAAAGACCGGAAACAGAAACCAAGAAAAAACGAGGTAGATAATTATTTTATAAAGTTGTTTGCATTGTTGAAATATATTTTAAAAATGTAATTTGCTTAATATTTAACAACATGGATAATTGTAATGTCATTTGCAAAAAAATATTTTTACTATATAGCTTTTAATGAAAAGTTATTTTAGGGTAATGAAGAATAAAAATAACCTCATAGATATTTTTTTTTGGGTGGGGGCAGATTCCCTATCAAAAAATTTATTGAAAATTTTAATGTAATATTTTTATCTGTAATGGTCTTTGACTTATAATTTCTTGAATCAGGGTAATAAATGGGAGCCACCTTTAGAACCTGAGTATGGAGATAAGGAAGAAGAGTCTGCACAGGTAACAAAAGAAACCAAACATTTATGAGTAAAACAGTTATCAATTAATTACAAATGTTACTAGTTTTGTCTCTTTTTTTAATGGCCTTTTGTCAGTAAATAAGCCTCCCCAGTGAATTCTTGAGTTGTAAGAGCGCATAACACCTTTTTTTTTTATTTTAACGTTCTTCAGGCTTTTAAAAAAAATATATAGCTCTACACTTTTCTATTTAAAAAAAAAATTTTTAGCTCTCCAAATGACTTGTAATTTAAATAAGTTAAACAAGCTTTTAAATGAAAATTTAGTTCTGGCGTGAGTCATGAGTTGGTAAAATTATTTGTCCAGCAGCCTCAAATGGACAACACTTCGGAAGATTCTGAGAGGAAAATTGAAGGGACATTAAAGCTTCCCGCGATGCCACCCCTGGATAAGATTGTAGAGAAGGTTCCAGAAAGTACCAAGTATGTTTCATGAATGTTCATCTTGACTTTTCTATGACCAAGTACAGGGTTGTCTTTAAAAGAAGTATATTTAATGTGAATGCTGTAATTGATTTCAATAATTGGTGCGTGCCATTTATTAACACAATTTTACATTGTTTGCTATCTTATTATTGCTTATTTTACTGTGTCAGTTTCCAAAACTCTAAGACTACTAAGAGTGAAATCCAGCAATTATTCTTTACCAATTATTGTTTATTAACGTATAAAATAGATTTTAGTCAAGTCCAGCATTTATGTCATTACAATTAAATTTATTTTAAATTTTCCCCCGCAGTTTAAAGGAGGACGATGCTCCCCCAAGTAAGTCAAGAATGTCCATCTCACCATCCTCTTCATCGTCATCTGGCTCACCTCGGCGGTTGCCAAAACAGAAGAAGAGGTCAGGATCAAAGTCGGGATCTGAATCTCCATCACGTTTACGAGCATCGCTGCTTGAGCAGAGGAGAAGGAAAACCAAAGAAGGAGAAGATTCACAGGTGAAGGGACCTGATGAGAACAGAGGTAAAGACGACGGCAAGGATGCTTCGGTATCACCATCTTCATCATCGTCTTCCCCTGAACCCCCTCCTGTTATTCCCCGTGTTCATCGATCAAGATTCGATGTCCCTCCTAAAGGTTTTGTTGCTGTTGATAGCAAAGATCAGTCTGCTCCTGTTGTTGAAATACCTGCACCAAAACCAACCCAGCAGCCCCCCAATGCTTTCATCCCTGAGCAGGACTTGACCACACTGCAGTATAATGCCATTCAGCATCCTAACATGGCAGAGGCAGCAACACATCTGGCAAACACTGTTGGTGTGGAAACAGTCAAATTACCTCAAGTACCACTGCCTGCTTCAGCCCCACAGATCTTACCCTCTTCATTCCCTCTTTCATCAATTGCTCCTCCACCACTGCCACCTATGCCGCCGACACCAGCGCTCACAATTCCGCCACCTCCACTCCCTGAGAGTCAATCAACGTCTGTCCCTCTTCCAGTGACTCCTACTGAAGTAAGGATGGCAGCCAACATGGATCCGTTTCAGCTCTCAAATGTTCCTCTGCCTGGAGAGATAACTGTGGCAAGTGCTAATAATGACTCTGGTAAGGAACCATCTACCATCTTGCCAGGGATAAATATGACACCTGTGGGCACAAAACCTGCAGAGACAACTGATTCAGAATCAGTTAAGCAAACTGACGGGAAGTCCAGGCGGGACAGTAGCCGCTCGGACAAAGCCAGATCATCCTCAGCATCATCATCCTCATCACAGTCATCATCTAGGGAGAGAAAAAAGACTCCTCAATCTGTTAAAGCAGATAGTGATAAGCTTACTGAGAAAGAACTCCCTAAATTGCCAGAGGCTCAGGTCAAGCCTAAAGACACTGTGATGGCACAAAAACCTGAAAAAGATACATCTCCCGTGAAAACTGCAGACACTAAAAAAATTGATAGGCCTAAGGAAGAGAAAAGTGAGAAAAGGTCAGATAGAAAGTCCACAGATAAGAGGTCTCGAGATAGAGAAACACCTAGGCCAAAACATGGGAGCTCATCATCTGCAAGGGACAGGAGACGTTCTCGGTCTAGAGATTCAAGGGTAAAAAAGAAGATTAGTCCATCTCCTGCAAGGAGAAGATCACGCTCTAGATCAGCCTCTAGGAGAGGACGCAGGTCACCCATTAGGCGCAGGTCAAGATCTCGATCCCTGAGAAGAAGGTCACCTATAAGGTATTTTAAAAAATTAGTATTTATAGTAATTCCTGTTGAAATTAAATTCATGTGAATTCCTGATCATTCAATCCGTTTACAATTATTTTAAAAATATATTTATATATTCAGTCGTCCCTAGCCACATCGCGCTTCAACTTTCACAGCTTCTCTATTGCGTGTTTTTGTTCAAATATAACATTAAAAAGTTGATCGAGATATTGAAAAATGATTCAGAGCACGCTCTGCTGAGTCAATTATACATCCCTGTATTAAAATTAAAATGACTGTACATATGGACTGTAGGCCTATGAATTTGAGAACCTTCTTTTGAGGGTCTAATAATGTTAAAAACTATAGTTAGAAGGCCTTAAACAGGTTTTCTATGCTCTTATTGCGAAAATATTCAATTTAGAATTAAAGAATTCTACTTCAAGGAAAGTCGCCTATCATGGTAGATGCTGGAACTGATCAATGGCCATAAAGGATGACCATAGGTGTAAAAAATATTAAATGTCTTGTTCTTAAGAAAAATCACATTAATTTAAAAATATATTTTAGATGCGTGGTTATAATTAGCGTTTATAACTTCTACATATTGTTTCTCTAAGTCTAAGTTAAATATACATGTAAAGTTTCTTAACGCAACATGGCATAGTTTTACTAGAACCATATTATTAATGAGTTATTGAAAAATTAATCCCCAATAGTTGACATGGACAAAACTGACATTTCAGATTTGTATCATTACAATCAGTTACTATCTAAATGATATTCTAATGATTCGGAAATTCATGTCTCTTGCTATGCTCTTCTGTTTGGTTGTTCCTTTCCAGAATTGGTGACCTAGTATAATAAAGCTTCTTGTTTCTGTTATTTCAAGATTAAATTTGATGTTATCCTGAGAAGGTGGCTGCATTTGCAGAAATGGATAACCTTGTCCACAATTTTTCAAGACAACATCAACACGCTATCTTTTCACATGTCCTCATTGTGATTTCGAGTCTAAGATTGAGTTTAAAAACAATTACAGAACGTATTTATTAGAAATAGCAATGATAGCAGTGCCAGGCACAACTTGTAAACTAGTTAATTGTACTTTACAAAGTGTTTGTTCTCTTTGCAACATTTAATTTGTCTTGCCTGCATTATTTCATTATCAATAGCCATTGGAGTAACTGTCAAATGTAAGAGACCTCTGAAAAAATGTTTGCACTATCTCCCACTGTTCATTTGTGATATAGAAAAAAATTCAGATTGCGCCATGCTTATGTATTAGCAGAAAGAAAGAATGTCTTAAATATCAGGCCTTGCATGCCCAAACACTCCATCAATTTTCTTAAACATTCCTATGCAGCCAGCATATGTGATGTAAGACAGATAGACTTTTTTTAACTGTGACCAGACTGCAAATATATACTGTAAAACTGGCAATCTGAATATGTGCTGCAAATCTGGCAGTGCATTTGTTAAATATAAGGGTTTTTGGGAGATGTACTCAAAGGAACAGATTGTAGGATATTAAGGAGCGGGAATGAGAGACCATGAATATGTTGTTTGAACACTAATACATATTTTCCCCTTGATTGACCTTTCAGGCCCTGGGCAAGTCGTCAGAGAGGAAGGCATGATAGATCACCTAAAAAGCGCAGGTAGGAAAAACATTTGTTTATGTTTTAAATCATATGTCACTTAATCTGCTCTCTAGATGAATGGATATAATAAAATAGTTTTAAAATTCTGATTATAAAGAATTTGATAACTTTTACTGAATGTATTCAATTTTTGTTAGGTCAAGGACTCGTAGTAGAGACCGTCGTCGCCGTGGCAACAGGCGATCAGACAGCCGTTCTAGAAGTAGCAGTCGCAGCAGTAGGAGCAGTAGCAGATCCAAGAGAAGATCATCCTCGTCTTCAAGTGACTGAGTTTCTGGCCATGTTGAGAGAGAAAACTTTTGTTTGGAGCTTTAGCACATTGCATATGACATATTCAAAACTTGGAATGGTTTGGTGTTTTTTGTATGGTGCAGCATATTGCTCTGGCCAGATAGGTAACGACAGAATTGGCCTTGACACCTTTGAAATTTTAAATGTGTGAATTTGTGTTACTTTTTACTTTTAATTTTAAAGTGTGCTACAGACTGACTGGTATTCAGATAGTTCTCTCCCATGTTTTTATTGTATTTTTTTGTAACATTATCATGAAAGAGGTCAAAAGAGCTTGTCATCAGTCGTCCTTATTACAACTTTAAGGTTATTTAAGATTTCCAACAGTTGACCCTGCCTCGCGACATCTTGCAAGTAATCTTTTTTTTTTTCTTTTTTTTTAAAACAAATTTCTTTAGTTTTGGTGCAGTTTGGTCATCGTGACACACCAGAGTCTCACTACTGGTTCAGTTTGGTCATTGTGACACACCAGAGTCTCACTACTGGTTCAGTTGGTCATTATGACATTCCGGACTGGCTACTGGTTTACCTTAGAAAATTTGATTAGAATTCTATGTCTCACTTGTTCTCAACTTATTTTCAAATATAATAAAATGAGACTTTTCTCACTTTATCAGCAGCTTCCATGTGAAGTCATTTTTGTGTCACATAGTTGTGTTTTTTTTGTTGTTTTTTTTTAAATATTTACAGTGGAATTAAAATAATAGATTTTGTTTTTCAAATTGATAAGAAACCATGTTGGTTTGTTTTTTTTTTCCAAACAATGAATCCTGGTGTTGATGGTCTTATTTTAATTCCATGTTCATTTTAAAGCAAAATGGTGCATACACTTTTTAATTATTTTTTTATACCGGTACACATTATATAGTAGGGAGTAGGGCTCTCTCTACCTGTTGGAGATTTTGAGCTGGGAGGCTCAAGTTCAGAGTAATGAGTTTTTGCCTAATCTTGATAGAAACTGGATTACTTTTATCTTACACCTAAATTTAACCTAATACAGCCCTATTAGTATTAGTAAATACTACATGCCAGCCCTAATTCTTTGTGACTAGGGTTATTCAGATATTTCTACACTTCTTTTTTCAAAACAATGATTGGCAACTATAATGAAATTGAGAGGATACAAAAAAATTAGTATTCTCAAGGGACATTTGTTGTTTTTTTTGTTTTTTTTAGTTGATTTATTTGTTACTAGTATTATTTTTTTGAACCTGCTATTGTATATGTTTATTGAATTGTACACATTTTAAATCAAGGGTCTAGCTGTTGGTTGATGTCCGGTGTACGATCAATGCAACTACAAATGTTCAGATTACATCCATAATGGGGATATCTTCATTGATGAGGCAGGACTTTATTCAATGCCATAAGTACTCAGATGCAGCCGACATTAACTTCAATAAGATGTTCTGAGAGGCAAAGCCTCACAGAAACACTGCTCTGTTATAGAAGTTTGTTTACATTTCATATTAAGTAAGGCTAAAGTAAATTAATAAATAAAAAGCTTTGGAGTTTCATTTATTCTCTTGTTTATTTTTACATGCAGTAGCCAGTAAAATATGACAGGAGGGAACTAATGAAATGCTTGTTAGTCGTTGCATACCGGTATTACATTGTTCTACCTTTCTTTTTTTTTTTTTTTTTTTTTAAATTTATCATTTTCTTTCCCCCACACCTCATGTCACTTTTTAGCCAGTAAAATATGACAGGAGGGAACTAATGAAATGCTTGTTAGTCGTTGCATACCGGTATTACATTGTTCTACCTTTCTTTTTTTTTTTTTTTTTTTTAAATTTATCATGTTCTGTCCCCCACACCTCATGTCACTTTGAGACCCTCTGCTCTGCCATGCACTTGACAAAAACTGTGAATGGTAAGAAATCACAATTAGAAAGATTTTATTATCATGAAGTGTTTTGTTGCTCCATGTCACTCTCATTTTTTGTAACGCTTATAACAGGATATACTGTAGCCATTCACTGACAGAGATGCCGTAAGTAAAGAACCACTTGAAAAAAGGTCAGTCAGGGCATTTGCTGGCAACCTTGTGATGCGCACTTGATCTATTGCTCCAAACCTTGGACTTGTGACTCTGCTTTATCAAACATGATTATAAAAAGATGGTACTTGAGTTCTGCTGTTATAACATATGGACATCCAAGTCTTTTAATAAACAAAATCTATCAATGATGACAACTTCCTCTTTAATTTGATGTAACTAGTACTAAACAACACAATATTAACATCCCAATGAAGCGGTATTGTTCTCAATGGCTTCAAAGATTCCAATATTTCAAGACATTAGATGATTTTATTTGTTGTCCAGGGTCAGTGTCGCCAAAACTAGGTCCGTAGACATTCTGAGTTCCTAGCTTAAAATAAACAGCTTCAGGAGACCATGTCTGATTTAACAGATATTTTATCTTTAACTATGTGTTTATATGTTGAAAATTCAAAAGGTTTAACTTGTCATGATGCTGTTCTTTACCTATGGTGAGAAATATTTGTTGGTATCTATTGAGAAATTTAAAACGATACTCGCCTGCGGCCGCCAAGTCCCATTACAGACTCACATTGTGTCTTTACAATCCAACCAGCCATATACCACTACTGGTATGTTGAAGAACTATGACATTTTTAACTAAGGTAACCTGAAATTTTCTCATTATAAAAGCTATCATTACATTTTTATATGCTAGATGTACTAAAAAAATTTCTGAAGGTAAGAATTTTAAGGCTACCTCTCTAGTTGGTTGTTGGCTTTGCATATTTCATCAAGTACATATCCACAAGGTTGTGGCCCTTAGCTGAACCACTCCTCACTTGGTCTAAGTTCTCTAAATGGATGGATTGATTTATTCAAAATCTTGCTTTTCACCAGTTTGCTCATTTTTAAAAACTCTAGTTGTATTGCTTTAAGAGTGTAACCACCGAGTATTATCCATATAATTTGTGGGATGTCCATTCCTTCAAAATAAATAGGGACTGCAACAACTAAGTAGTGCTAATTACTAAAGAATGGTGGTTTGTTGCAGGTTTGTTGGCACTGGGGTGACAAAGATTCTTCAAAGCTGAGTCAAAAAAGCATGAGCCCTTAACGTGGTGTGTACATCCGCCAAGCCACTAGATGAGAGGTCGGCAACAACCTATGCGGCACTTAGAAGGCTCTTTTTTTTTCTTTCACTTTTTTTTTATTACTGGTGGCACGCAACTCCCAAAATATGGTCTCAGATATAGTTTAAAAAAATGTCCCCTTACTGAAAAATGGTTGCTGACTCCTGCATTAGATTGATACCAGTGAACAGCCCTGACACAACAAACAGCAAATCAGTCACTGGGAATACATTGCTTGTAAAATCCTTTGTTGTGGGTTTAACATATTTTTTTTATGAAGATGCATGTAGACAAAATAAACCTGTTGTATTTTTTTAATATTACTGGTCAATGAGGAAAGAAAATTGAAAACTGTCGTGTACGGCTGTTTGAATCAGACCAAGTCATGTAGTTATTACATTGGATGTTTGTGCCCACAAAGGATTTTGTTACAATTCTATACCTTGGCCACCATGGAGGTTCGTGGGGACCATCCTATGGATACCGGCAATTTTTTTTTTCTTTGTTGCCCGCTGTGATTGGTGGAAAAAAAACTTTTTAAAAATTCATCTAAAGACTACTTCTTTTTTTTTTTTTTTTTTTTTTT